TAGGCATATGTGGAATTTTCACATTAACTTCACGCAATATAACATGATTTTATTATCTTAATTTTGATTTTATTCTTAGAATATTATGACATTAATCTTATTCATTTAGTTATTTTTCAACGTGGCACAAAAATGCTGCAGTATAGGCTACTGAATGCAAACACAATTTTGGCACAGCGGCCCAAAAATAAATAAATAAAGAAAGAAAAAAAGAAAAAAAAAAGTGAGGTGATATTTGTATTATTGGTTAATAAACCAATGTTTTCTGAGTCAATGTTGCAAAAATTAATTTGACCAACCTGACTTGCCATCTCCTCATTGGACGTGCCTTTAGAGAGACATTCATCTTTACGGATTACATAATGAAAGAGGTTTTGTTTTCGATTTGAATCATTTCGTTTTAAAAATAGTAATTTAAAGCATTCTATAGATATATTTATCATGTCGGTGATGCGCTCCTGCGCAAGACCAAGAGGACAGAAAGCACATCCTGTTTGTTTTCCTTGCTTTACAAAAGCACAAGATTTTGTTGATATTGTGAGTGCACACAAATACAAGTAGACCCTTTGCAGTTCCGAATGATGCATACTCTTACCTTTGTGAGCAAAAATGGCGTATTTTTTAGTTTCCACTGTTATATTAAAAAAAAAAATTTTTTTTTAAAAACGCAAGTGATCGCGCTGGCACCTTCATGTCCAGCAAAGCCCGCTTTAGTTTTAGATCCAAACGATTGGATATGCGCCTAACAGCGCTCATTTATCTAGGTTAAATGTTTAAATGAATACTGTGAAATGCATGAAGTGTTTTATGCCGGTTTATTTTAGGCAAGTCGTGTTGGTTTGAGAAGGCTAAATTGATCAAACAATGCTCAACTCACTGTCTGCCGCTTGGTCGTTCCTTTAACAAAAACTTGAATTTAACAAACATAAAATGTTCCAAACATCTCTAAATTAACTTTATAAAAAAAACATGACCACTTTGCCATTAAAAACCAAAACTGAACTATTTTAATAGCTGTGTAATGGGGAAGAGAGGTATGCACATTACCAAGCACTGAAATAAAAAAAATTGAAGGAAAAAGCGTTTTTTTTTTTGTTTTTTTTTTAATAAACACTGCGTCGTCAGAGTTGGTATGTGGCTTTATCAGACACTTGCACTTAACATTTTATGAAAATCAAGCTCAAATGGAGTTAACAAGGTTTTTGACCAGCGAATGACGGAGATCTGTGTTTTGTCTGTCCTTACAACAGCCGCATCTGAGGCAGCAAGTGCATCGCATTATACGCTTTCATCAACTTACAGGTTATAACATTTATTGTAGCTATATGGGCGCTTAGTTTTTCCATGTCGTTTAATACACTTGGCCAAAATCTCATGATAGACGATGAAGCGCTATATGCACAGGATATTTAAAACGTAGCCTACAAAAGTAGCCTATTGGTTACAACTAGACGGCAAAAGCTATTCTTCGCACTTCAAAACACACAAAAAAAAAACATTAGCCTTTATAGACAATGTTTTGGTGAAGAAAACGCTGTACTTACTCAAACATTATTTACCCTTGCATTGCGAACAAGCCGAGATCTGTCTCCAGGCTGCGCGGCGCTTTGTTCTGAATGGAAGCAGGGTGAAGTTAAGAGGTTTTGCTCACAGTTTGAGGATCTATAGCGTTAAAAAGTTTAGTGACAAGCTCTTTTGAATGCTTTTCATTGGTTAAATATTTGTAAAACCCTCAAACAGACATAAGGAAGACCAATAGCAGTGATTTAACACAATAACGAAATAGAATCGAGAGTTTGGATTTTCCACGGCACACCTGACTGGGCTAGGGTATGGCGACTGCCATTCGGAAACGCCGCCCCTGGGACCAAGCTAAATGATTATCAATGTACTTATCCACACGTACGTTATCCAGACGCAAGTTATCCAGACGCTTATCCACACGTAAGTTAAAAAAAAATCCTTTTTGCTACATTGCCGCCACGCCTCCGCGCAGTTTGAGCGCAGCTCTGACACGTGACCGTGACGTCCAACGTCTCATATCTTACGTCTGACGCCTGAATACTATGGGATTTTGGCCAGACGGCTGGCGAGCGTATACACGTTAGTTCTCCTCTCAGTTTGCTTAGCAATCAGCAAAAAGTGCATATAGTAAACCCCATAGTCACCTTCATCAGCCGAACAGCAGCAAGACGCCAAACAAGGCTGTACACACAGCCGCTCTCCTAACAACGAAAGCAGACCAGATACAAACGCAAATCAGCTAAAACACACCAAAACCAGAATAAAGCAATCAAATGCAATACACCAAAGGCTGCATTAACCCACCTTTACCGACCCACAGTTACGTTCAGCAGAAACAGCGGAAGCCCAACCCCATCCGGGAAATGACGCCTACAGGTACATAAGCCAATGGCTTTTATAGACTGTACCAATCAATGACGAAAAAATACCCGCCTTAAATTCAATTCAGGAAATCACGCCTATTTTACCTATTATGCCACAAACATTTACTATAGTTTTAGATGACAATATAAAATCGCCTTACATTTTTTTGTGAACGGTGATGTCCATTCAGTGAATTAAAAATAAAACAAAAATGGTTAAGTTGAAATATAAACAAAACTCCTAGGTCCTTCCAGGGGTAAACTCCAATGTGAAACTGACGGTCTGTTTCAGACCCCTCACATAGATGGGAGGGGTGAGGGAGGGTTTGTAGACCAGATGATCTGCGATGCTAGTCTGCTAACCTTTTTTCTAAGAGTTTCCCTACTTCAGCTGATGTCCGGTGGTTCTTGCATAAATTTCAAAAACAATCATTTGTATTAGATTTATTTCACATTAATCACTTTAGATTCTTAAAGTTTCTTATTTTAAACAATCTTCGGTTACACTTTACTTGAAGGGGTGTGCATAAGACTGACATGACACCTTCATAATCATGACATGACATGTCATGAATATGAAGGTTTTTTATGCATGTTTATGACAACTGTCATTAAGTGTCATTCGCTCAGTTATGTAATTTTTAATGCAAAGATGACATTGTTTGAGATGTCTTTGTTATGGGCTATGGTTAGGGGTAAGGGTAGGGGTAGGGTTAGGAGGGTTAGGTTAGGTCAAATGTCATATTTGCATTAAAAATGACATAACTGAGCGAATGACACTTAATGACAGTTGTCATAAACCTGCATAAAACCTCCTTCATATTCATGACATGCGTCATGTCATGATTATGAAGGTGTCCTGTCAGTCTTATGCACACCCCTTCAAGTAAAGTGTTACCCAATCTTCAAAGTTCAATGCCCTCACACACACAATAAAACATGTTGCCAGTGTCTTTCTGTATGTTTAAAAATAAAACTAGAAAATATTTCATTTGTTTTAAATGGATGCGAAGGAGTGTGTTTGTCACAGAGCTGACGTACCTCTTGCGTCAAATGCGGAGCTGGTAATTCCTTATTTAAGTTGTATCTTTTAGAAAATTTTATATTTATTTTATTTCAAAACATATTCCCGCTTAAAAGGCTAAATAAAAAGTGTGTCCATATCTTAGAGTAGCCTATTCCTAGGGCGATCCTGCGCCCAATATCTGACATCCTGCGGCAGCTAAGATCTAGTTCTGCACTTATTGTTGTATATGCTCATACTTTTCTGAACGGTCTTTATCAGCGTAATAAATATCAGGGCGAAACGGTCTTCACTGAAAATATACTATTGTTTATCTACTCGAAAATATATGTAGAAAGTTACCATACGTTGATGTAACGTCTTGTCTGATGATCACACAAACAGTATTTGAAGAGTGCATTTATGACTGTCGCAGGCACCAACCCTTTGCCCCATAACATTCTGGTTCATTTAAATTGTTGTTTAAACAACAACAACAACAACAACAACAACAACAACAACTTGTCGGGACAAAAGGCTGCTACCAAGAAAAAAAAAAACACACACACAAACAACATTTTGGATACCCACTGACTTTTTTTCGGAGTTGTAAACTGTGCTTGAATGAAACACATGTGAGGGTCTTCTGGGATTCAATGGGTCTCCTGAGAATATTTAATTGTGCTTAAAGCAAAGATTAAGCGAAATTAAAAAGATACCCGGCAATTAAAAAAAATAAAAAATACCTACAGTACGTCGTTAAAACTAGTATACAATAGGCCTATGTTACAATTAAACTTAAATTAAGGTGGCTCATGTCTCGGATATATGTTTGTGTGCATGTATTTTTACTTTTGAACTGAAAGATTAAATTTCAGTTCAATTCCTAGTAAATATAAGGCCAAAACATATTACAAAAGAATCATGTTGACAAATGTGGTTGTTGCAGTGTTTTTAAAAATAGGGAATGCCAACTCCAAACAGATCTCCCCACACGCAAAGTCAGCAAGTATTGTACAATTGTATAACACTTAGTTTAAAGCATGAACTTGCTTTAAGGCTTGAATAAAAGGTTACCAAATGTGGTTTCATACCCGTTGTGTTCTAACAAAATTCATTAAATCGGTTCTCTATAAGATTTACTTTTATTACTTCTACGAAGGTTCACGCTACTTTTAGAAGTCTGATAAATATGTGGTCAATGTACCACATGTGGTCAATGTCAATTCTCACAATGTAGTGAGAATCAGGCTACCAAATAAGTTTGACAGTGTTTAAGAAAGGGATTTTATTTATTTAAAAACTAAACCAGATAACACATTATTCTTTGTTTTTGACAAACCTAAAAACCAACATAATGTGGATTTTTCAGCATCCAACATGAAATTAAAGAGTTGTATTAGCAGAGCTTGTTTCAACTGTTTATTTCCATTTTTACGTTCTCTTTTTTTACTCTCATAGATATAGAATAAACCTTATCGCCCATTTTTTTTTTCTTCCCCAACAGACCCCAAAAATAATATACAAACAAGATCTATGTGGGCACAGCTGTAAATTCAAGGGGTCTAGTTACTCAGAAAGTGTATACATAATTTAAGAAAAAAAAGTATCGGTATCGGGCGAGTACTGGAAAAAGTGGTATCGGTGCATCCCTAGTCAAAATGCATACAGAAAACCTTCTGTTGATCCATTATGACAGGCGTTTTACTTTGTCATCCGTAATCCTGATAATTTCACTCTGTACACATTAGGCCTCATTTATCAATCTAACGTAGAAACGAGTGCAGATCAGTGCGCACAAATCAACTAAGACAGTTCACGTGTGATTTTTGAAAAATCCGTATGCCGCAAATCTCATCGTACGAATGATCGCACGTTGATAAATGTGGCGGCAGAAAACAATCGTCATTTGAATATCACGCCCCTAAAAACACCCTGGTTTAGAAGCCTTGCCCCTAGAGTTTGACACAGAGAAACGAAACCCAGCCAAAAAGAGGAAGTAATCTCATGAAAGAGAAATTGATCTTACTCCAAAAACACCCGCAAACCTTGTAATTGCAAACAATTAGGCTACATTAATTTATATTAAAATACTGGTAAATATAAACAGCCTATTTGTTCCCCTCACTCTACAACAAATATTTTAAATTTATTGGTATTCAGAACAGAACAAGAATGGAAAATTAGTTATAAAATTATATATTAAACTATAAAATAAAACACAAATTAGGTTATAGTGGCATTAATTATAAACAGCATACAAATGTCAAGCAAAACTGAAACGCCATTGGGCTCAAGCCTGTCTCATACCACAAGAATCCAAATGTTTTCATTTTTGCCATATTTGTAACATTCGACAGTGTAACTTTTGTTTGGTTGACTGCATTTTAGTTTGATGATGAATGGCTAAAATGCAAGGCAACGCTAGAACTATTTGTGTGTGCATGAGGCGCCTGTGCGATCAGATGGATTTAATCAAATAAAGATAATGTAATAATGCATTAAGAGTGTCACAAATACGAGCGTAGCCTATATGTCATGACACAGGTTAGGAGACAGAGGTAATTGGTCAAACAAGGGTCTTTATTGATAGAAACTAAAGGAGTGAACCAGGGGGTGATGAGAGGGGAGTGTAGCACACAGTGACAGGGCTCAGAGGGCTTACCTTGCAGGAACAGTTCTTTGCTTTCTTGTAGGAATCACGTGGAGCGATGGAGTACAGGATCGGTGGAGAAACTGGAACGTCTGAGGTAGGAAACCGGCTTGGTTCAAGGATGTGATCGGTTGACGTTGATCTTGTGTGAGGAGAGCACTGATATAGGGGAACTTGATTATCTGCAGCAGGTGCGGGGAATCAGAATGCAGGGGATTGTGATCTTGTGAACGTCGGTGCTGATGACTGTGGTGACTGGGCTGGGGGAGGAGGTGCGTCCGGTTCAGTGGATCCTGTGGTGGAAAGGGAGAAAGGTTTTAGGAGGGAGACGTGGAATGTGGGATGGATTCTGTACCTTGCCGGGAGTTGGAGCTGATGTGTGACATCATTAACCTGCCTCTGTATTGGAAAGGGACCTATGAAGCGGGGACTCAGCTTCTTGCACGGCAGACGGAGGTCTCTGGTCGATAGCCAGACCCGCTCGCCTGGTTGGAATTGAGGGGGATCTGACCGACGGACGTCTGCGAAAAACTTGTGCCTCCGCACTGCACGCTGGAGATGGATGTGTGCTGAATCCCATACCCTCTCGTTCTCTCGGAACCAGTAGTCCACAGCTGGAACCTCCGAGGGCTCCTCAATCCAGGGGAAGAGCGGAGGCTGGTACCAGAGTATGCATTGGAAGGGAATAAGGCTGGTGGTGGATTGTCTGAGGGCGTTCTGGGCATACTCGGCCCAGGGGAGGAAGCGGCTCCAGCTGTGCTGATCGTTTGAGCAGTATGACCGTAGGTAGCGTCCGAGTTCTTGGATCTTCCACTCAGGCTGGCCGTATCTGTATGGTATCCGGAAGAGAGGCTGACAGTTACCCCAAGGAAGTGAAAGAATGCCTTCCATACATGGGAGATGAACTGGGGACCCCGGTCTGAAACAATGTCCTCGGGTAGGCCGTAGTTTCGGAACACATGGTGAAAGAGACTCTTTGCTGTCTCTAGAGCCGTGGGTAGGCCTTTTAGGGGGATCAATTTGCACGCCTTGGAGAAACGGTCCACGGCCACGAGCACACACATGTGTGGCCTTCTGAGGTAGGCAGATCAGTGACGAAGTCCACCCCAAGGTGAGACCAGGGTCATTGGGGAACCGGTAGGGGAACCAGCTTGCCAGCTGGAAGATGGCGAGGGGATTTAGACATGGCACAGACTGAGCAGCTACGGACATACCCGATGACATCCTTGGCCATACCGGGCCACCAGTACCGGGCTTGAATGAGCGAGAGGGTCCGCTGGCTGCCTGGGTGTCCAGAGCCTGGTACTTCATGAACTGAGCCCAGAAGGGGTAAACACTGGGAGGTTGGAATGAATG